CAACAATCTCTCGTGTTCTCTTTCTTCTGATACGTGATACCTGTTGTGGTCAGGATGCTCTGGTGATCTTTTCATGAAGGTATTTGTTACAACTTTTTGAGCTATAGTTTCTCTGTTTGAACAATATCCACTTGTTCACACCAGAAGCTGAGTGCTTCGTTTGATTCTTTGTTTAGTGTTTCATTCAGCCATTGTGCCAAAAAAGTCCTCGAAAGTGACAGCCTCTGTACCTTCAAATATGCGGCTACATTGAATATACAGACCCTGTCTTTAGTGTTTACAGTACGTTGTCCCATTACATTTATTTTTAGTAAACATATAATCAGTAAATCACAGTGAAAACATTAAGAACAGAAAGACCCATACAGTGAAGGTGTCCACGTTCCCCAAAAATATGTCTAAACACTACAGTGATCTACACGTCTTCAAGCACACTTAGGTTTTTTCAAGTATTGAGAACATTGTAGGGAAATTTCTTCTTTCCAAGTTCTGTACTGTACGTACTGAGTAGGATGCATAAAATAATTAAACTAATTGAATGTAATGAAAGCTGTGAAGAAAGCCTACACTTATATGGAGGTGACAACATAAGTAGAGCATCATAGAAAGCCTATTATTAATTTGTAAATTAAAATATCTACACAATTTTTTTTCTACCTATTTCCTCTGGAATTTCAAATGTTATATAATATGATTCATTTTTTTTAATATCATGGTGAATAAAAAAGTCTCGGTTTTAATAATTTTAATTTTACGTTTCTGTATGTTTAATTAGCTTTATTATCCAATTTTGGCCCCTAGGACAGAATTCCATTTTTAGACTCTTCTATATTTTCCACATACACAGAGGAGGTACTTGGACCATTCCTGTTTTCAAGATATTACTTTTCTAGACTTGGAGAACATCCACTGTGTCTGGTGATGTCTTTTTGTTCTTCTGTTGAGCTAAGCCCCCAGGTTTTCTAAAAGAGTACTGAAGGAGGAAACAGATTTTATGGCGAACCATTTCTGTGCTAATTTGGCTTTATGTGTTGGACCATTATCCTTCTAAAAAAGACCCAAAGGCTGATCATTTTTAGTTTTATGGCAGAAGCCACAGGATTTGTTTTTTTTTTTTCTTTTTTCACAAAGCGCTGGCATTTAAAAAAGTTCCTTATATACTGAAACAGCTCCGAAGGGTTACAAAAAAAAAAGATTATAAAAGATTATAAAAGATGCTGAACATTACCGCAGAATTTCTGCACATTTTTCCTTTATTCTGTCCCAGAATGAACTGGAATATTTGACCACCGTTGATCTTATTGTATGGTTCACTCCCACTGTGTCAGTTTGCCTTTTTTTCTGTGCTGACCTTTTCTTTATGTCTGGGTCTTTGTTCTGGCCGCTTCTCCTTTGCATCTTTGCATCATCTCTGCATCTTCTGCCCAAATTTAAATGCACAAACTTCTACTTTGCATACTCATATTAACACATAGACATCAACAAATATTTAAAAAATAAAGAACATACATGAAAGCAGGAGAAATTACACTATAGAAGAACAGGTGCATACAGTAGAGCAGCCAAGACATTTTTAATTACTTTTACTAGTTAGTTACTTCTTTTAAAATAATAATCATAATAACCATGATTATAATATTGATATCATATTATTATTAAGGACATTTATTCTTCTGTTCTTTTTTCTTTTTTTTGTTTCCTTAGATTCACTGTACACATTTTAAAACCAGACTCCCTTTCATTTTTCTCTTATTTGTTGAAGTGATTTCTGTTTTTTGGACCTTGCATGCCTTTACCGGTAGTTTAATTGATAAAACACTGCAATAACCGTTTTCATCCATTTGTGATCCAAATCTGAAGAACTTATCAAAGTGTCCTCTTAGGTTTGCACTGAGGGTGGCAGTCCTATTTGACTCTGCTTTGCCCTGTGATACACCTGTCCCAAGGCTGATAATTCCACTGAAGCATATTGCATTCACCAAAGAAAAAAAAAAATCAGATGGCTTATCTCGTAATTACGAGATACGGATCCTGTAATTGTGAGATATCAACTCGTAACTATGAGAAAAGATCTGATAATGATCCTGATACAGTCTTCATCAACAAAGTACGCAGCTATAACCCTGGGATTAAGCATGCAGCCTTATGACCATACGCGAAAATCCGTCAAAAGCTCCATTAATACAGATTCTGAATGGTTTTAGTTGTTCATATGAATCCACATGCCACAAAAAGTTGGGACCTGGTCGTTTTAAACCATTCTGAATTCTCAGCTGTACTCCTTGATGATCTAGGATTTGTAGAAGGTACCGGCGGACAGTTCTTTGGGACACCACTAAGCCAGCTGGAATGCATTTCGGATGTATTAATTTATAGCCATAAAGCATCCCGTGCTGGTTTAATTGCTCCTGCAGGAACAGTGCGATTTGAGAATATTGAGATCAAGATCTCATGAGATTTTATCTCGTAATTATGAGAAAAGATCTCATAATTACGAGATAAAATCTCCTAATTACGAGATACCAATCTTGCAATTATGAGATAAGCTTATTTTTTTTATTTTTTTGGTGAATGCAATACGCTTCCGTATAATTCATCTCTTTGACAGAAAATAAATTGCAAGACAGATGATGGAATAAAATCACATTTAAGGATGATTTTTTGTTACTCATTTATTTCTTCTTTTGCAGCAGTAGGTAATGTTCCGAACATTCTGCTTATTGTCTATCAACAGGTGTTTTGTTGGTTCTCTCAGTTTCTAGAACTCAGTAAGTTATGTTTCTTTCCTTTTCCAGGAACTGGAGAATGTCTTCAGATTATCCATGCTGTTCTCATCAACTTTTTCACTTTACTGCAGCTGCAATGCATTTCTTTGCTGTATGAAGAGTTGGCTGTGGATGTAGTTTATTGCTCAGATTTCAACTGCATTTAAGTTTGAATCTGTGGTGCTTTGTCTAGCAACTACTTTTTACTTCCCCAAGAAGCAGGCATGCAGACTTGTCAGATATAACAGATTTGTGGCCACAACTACAACACTACGTAATAGTAGATCACAGGAATTTCCTGCCGTGGTTTTTTTTGTTTTGAAGCCTAGGTTTTGAGATTCTGAAAAGCTTACATGCATGGTATGATGGATAGAAACAATAGAGACAGTGTGCTCATCATGTCTTTATGAGTTCATCCTCAGAGTGATGGTTTAAACATCCCTTCATATTCTTGTGAAGACATAGACTCTACATCAGCAGGAGTGTTTTAGAGTGTTGTGTTTAATAGAAAAGAGCCAGGCTGCCCGCCTGACCGCAAAATGAAGCCACAGGGCATCTCAGATCATTTACGTTTTCGGCTACCAAAATACATGGCTTCATAAGAAGATCCCAAACTCTGCTTCATACTTCATAACCATTAGGAAAAACAGTCCTGTCACGAGCAGCATATGTCTGTGTGTCCTGTATAATGTTTCACTTCATCTGTTTGAGTCTGCTGTCTACTGAAACCCGAAAAGTGGTCGACTTTGAACACCAGTGCCTATGATGGGCTTGGAAAGATGAAATGGTTGCAATAGCATTTTGCAAATAATTTAAAGTCTTAGTGGAAGAAAGTGCTGACTAAATGCAATAACCTTCTGGGTTTATAAAACACTTAAGTCCAACTATTGTTGGACACCATGGGTGGGACTGTGCGTAAAGGTACATTTAGAGAAGAGGAGCCTTCAGCTGGATTTCTCATCTGTGGAACTTTAACCTCTGATTTTAGATCAGACATAGGATCTCTTAACAGAATTCAAAGACTAAGCATTTGCTGTGCTGAGACCAAAAGGGTTGTTAAAGAAAATCCCAGACATGCTACTATTGCTGATTCTACTATGTATGTCTTGTTGTGAACCAAATAACCCAAATGCAACCTTCATCTTTCTCTCTATGCTTTGTAACACAAAAAACCTAGGCCAGTCTAAAGGCAGCACCTGATCTGACTGTGAAAAAAGCTGCAATTATTCTGTTTGGCTGCTGCATGGGAATAAATAAAGAAATGTGAACAACAGCAATATATTCACATTCTCGGCATTGGCATGCTGGAGGTCATTTTGTAGGGCTCTGGCAGTGCTCCTCCTGCTCCTCCTTGCACAAAAGCAGATACCGGTCCTGCTGATGGCTTGTAGACCTTCTATGGCCCTGCCCAGCTCTCCTGGAGTAACTACATGTCTCCTGGAATCACTTGGAATCTCATTTCTCTTGAGATTGTGCTGGGAGACACAGCAAACCTTCTGGCAATGGCACTTATTGATGTGCCATCCTGGAGGAGTTGGACTGCCCGTGCAACCTCTGTAGGGTCCAGGTAGTGCCTCATGCTAACAGTAGTGACAGTGACCCTAGCCAAATGCAAAACTGGTGAAAAAATAGTCAGAAAAGATGAGGAGGGGAAAAATGTCAGTGGCCTCCACCTGTAAAACCATTACTGTTTTGATGGCCGTCTCATTGTTGCCCCTGTAGTGCACCTGTTGTTAATTTCATTAACACCAAAGCAGCTGAAACTGATTAACAACCCTCTCTGCTATTTACCTGACCAAATCAATATCCCAGAAGTTGAATTAATTTGATGCTATACTCTGAATACAAAGTGTTCCTTTAATTTTTTGAGTTGTGTATATACATATCTTCATGATTCTTTGTGCAACTTTAAAAAACAAACAAACTTACTTTTCTCAAAATGGCCAAACTTTATCAGTGTTTTTTATACAGTTCAACATAAAGAATATGTTTTAAGCAAAACATTAGTTCTAAGGATCAGCCAAAAACAATATATTGGGGGTGTTTTGTGTCAAATACTTCCTAAAATAGTTCCTAAAACTTTATAAAAAAATAAAGAATGAAAACAGATTGTTAAAGTATTCATTTGATTAGGATTCTGCCTCCTGTGCCGTTTCGATTGTTGAATGGCAAAAAAAAATTAAATGTCTTAAAAATGTTTTTAAATCTAATTTTTTGATATTTCGTCATCTGCAGCTGAGTTGAAGAAGCAGTTAGAGATGCGGAGGAGGCAGAGGGCAGCTCACGGTAGGAATAAAACTCATATCATTGCTCTCATAATAATAAAATAATTCCCATTTATATTAAAGCTACACTTTCTATGCAGCTTAGTAAAATACAGTCTTGATTGCCAGAAGCTTAACACTGGTTAATATATGCAACATAATCTCAAACTGGAATTGAAAAGAGCAACCTTTATTTTGGATTCACTTATCTAGCCCTACTGTCATTATACTTTTCTTTATATGAATGAAACTAAAGATTTATTACACCCCACCATTTGAGGTTTATTTGAAATGCAAGAACATTTCCCCGGATCTCCTTCAACATTGAAAAGAGAATATGCAATGTATGTAAGGCGGATTTAAGCTGGTATTCTTAGATCTGGACATGACTTTACGTTACCTTCTTATCTAAATTTGCTCATATCTACAATCATTTTTTCCTAATATTTTTAGTTTAAGATTATGCTACTGAAAGGGCAGCATTGATAAATGTGTCCAATCCAATGAGCCGTCTACTAATACTGAGTTTGCTTACTGTGTAAAATTGGCTGGTATGAAAAAAAAAAGCCAGGTCCCTTTGTTCTATATTACAAACCGTTTCTACATCTTTATTAGACAAGCAAACCGGTGAGGAAGTTGCTCTAAGAGCATGATAGAAATCGTCTTAGTATTTTTCTGAACTAAAGATGGAAAACTCTGAACTTTTTGGGTGCTTTAGTTTTATGTGTAGTTCAGCCACTTCAAAGTTTTCACAGAAGGCCTTATTGACTTTTAGCTTAGATACCAAAACTGGACTCCATTTACTCTCTTCTGATGGTTTCGATCTGTGAACATACATTCTTTGACGAGGAAATAAAGCTACAGTAACAAACATCTTCCTCTGCTTCTGACGTCAACTGCTTTTTGTTTTTGTTATTTTGAGACTTCACAGCAGCCGTGTTTATGTTATTCATGACCAAAAGGACGCTTACCGCTTGTGGACAGATGTGCTTTAGCTTCTGGAAGCAAATGTTTAAATACCTGCATGTCTTTAAATCAAATTACATGACAGTCGTGACAGGGAATCACGCACAGGATGAGGAGGAGTTCGACCCTGTGGAAGAAAACCTCTGCAAACAAATTAAACAAGAAAAAGTGACGTGAGTTGTCTAAAATAACATACCAAATGTTATCCCAGTTTCCTCCCTGAGACATCGCTTGGATTGATTGAACACAGCAGGTGTAATGTCAACTAAAGATAAATATTGTGTTGCTGACATCCCTTGTCAGATACAAGAATACCCTTGGCCGCCTAAAGGCTATGAGGACAGAGATCGAGCATCTGCAGCTGTTGTCGGAGAGGGTTAAGGTCAAGATCCAGAAGGATTTCCAGAAGTGGTGGAGCCAGGAGGCCACTAATCCACAGGTGACTGACCTCTCGTCTATTTATGTACATTTTATTCCCCTTGAACTTGTCCTGTTGTGATAAAACCACGAGCGTTTGTGTATTTGACTTCTTTTTTTCATTTATTCATTTTTTTTACTTCAAAAAATCTGGAACTGCTCTCCAGGTCGTAGAGGTTTATTAGAGCGCACCAGCTAACTGATAGCCTTACAAAGAGAAAACAGGAAAGCAAACAAATCCGAGATGATGCCAGAAGATTAAAGAAGAGCTATAGGCTATATAAACTCACAGAGCCCAGTTTAAAGTAGAGACACATCCAAAAGTTACAGAGTGCTGACCCTCAGGGACTCGAGTTTGACCACTATGTTTTAAAAATAGTAGATAACATGAAACTATAAAAGAGATTCAACATCCAACAGAACAATGAAGCTACACCTAGACAGAGCTACAGTGGAATGCTTCAGATCAAAGTATAGTCAACTGTTTGAAATGTATCAGTGAAGATTCTCAGTCCTCCAGGTCATGGTCAAGCTTGAAAAGTTCAGTTTAGGCAACTGGATGTGAAGTTTTTTAGAAAACATTTCGCCTCTCTTCCAACAGGCTTCCTCAGTTCTAACTAATGTGGGGAACACTGAGATAACATACTTTAGGTTTAATAAAGAATTAGCCAAAAACAAAAGGTGGCTCTGATCCCTCCTACTGGATTGGCAATGGAGGTCATCTGGGGAGGTGTTATTGGTCATTAGGGGGTTCTCATGGATCTTTAACTCCCTCGTTGGTGTGGTTTTGGTCACATACCACATTAAAGTGTGAGTCAGATGAGGCCAGGTGACATTGTTGTCCTCAATCACAGACTAGTCCATTGGAGAGACCAAGCAACGGCTTAAAGACAGTCGTTTGAGGAAAACAATATCCACATTCTGGCCAAGTAAGAAAAATGGTTTGAGAAAAGGGTTAAGGAATTCATGCTTGTTAGCCTTGAAAAACCATCTCTCAATAGAGGTGGTCTTAGACATAACCGATCCCCTACTTACAAAGCACCTGACTCCCACTTCAGTGAGGCATGTGATATTAATCTCAGTTTTCCCTACCACTAGTTAGAACTGAGGAAGCCTCTTGAATGAGAGGCAAAACTCCATGTCCAGTTGCCTAAACGTATTACTCCACAACAAGTAATGAAGCTTTTCAACCATGCTTCAGCGCAATGACTTTAAAAAATGAACTTATAAAACAGGCCTGGAGAAAAGGGAGGGCTTTTTAGACAAAAACTGTAATCAAATGAGTCTTGCTATTATCTATGAGACTTTTGCTCCACTCAGCAGGTATTTTGCCCCACTCCTCATAAACAAACTGTTTCAGTTTTCTCAGCATTGAATCATGCCCTTCCAGAGGACTTGTTTTAGCTTCTTCCAAAGATACTCAATAGGATTTAGGCCAGGGCTCACAGAAGGCCATTTCACAATAGTCCAGTGTTTTAGCCATTTTTCTTAGCCATTCTTGATGTTGTTAAACTGTGTTTAGGGTCATTTTCCTGTTGCAAAACCCATGAGATGTGACTGAGACCAAGCTCTCTGACTATAGTTGTCAAGTCTTCCGTTTTGCCCGGGAAAGTACTGTATTTTAGTCCGTTTTCCTGCTGTCCTCCTGTAGTAAATTTCCCGTATTATTGTGTTATAAATTACATACATATATATAAATATATATTATAAACATTACGCTACCTCTCCAAACAGAACTGTTGCTAACATCACAACATCTGATCACCTTATTGTAGTTTGCAATTGGTCAAAAAGTGTTTATTATAATAATGTTTAGTATAACGGATACTGGAGCTTGAGTCAGGCAGCTCACAACGGATGTCCTAAGCTTTCACAAATTTTCAAATCCAAAACTTGACAGGTACATTTCAGGCTTAGAAGAAATGACCTGGTTTTTAACTTATTACAACTTCCGAATCCGTTTTGAAGCATTCATTTCAATGTGCCAGATGTGTTTATGAAACATTGCTCTCTAGAAACCCTTGATAGTCCTCGGATTTTATTGCACCCTTCAGGGATTCGGTATTCCCTTTGTCGGATGAAGCAAAACAGCCTCAGAAAATAAGAGAGCCTCCTTCATGTTCCACAGCAGGAACAAACGTCTATTCTTAATATTCCTCATTTTGCCACCTGTGAACTTAGAGCTGATGTGCCTTTGAAAAAGTTTTCTTTGTTGTCTCATCTGTCCATAGGACATTCTCTCAGATGCTTTGTAGCTAGTCAAGATTTAGTTTAACAAATTCCAGTCTGGCCTTTATAGGATTTGTTTTTAACAATAGGATCCTCCTAGGTCATCTCCGATTAAGTCCACTTTGGCCTAAAGAATGATGGATGGAAGAATGATGACACTGTTACTTCAGCTTTAAGTTCACCTTTAAGTTCTTACCCTTCGTATTATCCGTCTCTTAGATTTGTCAAAAGTTTTCCTTCTGTGGCCACCTCCAGCTAGGTTGGCAACAGCCCTACAGGGCTTGAATTTCTGAATAATATTTGCACCTGCTGGCACAGGACATTAGGCTGTTTGAAGATGGTCTTATAGCCTTTACCTTTAACGTACTTGCCTATAGCTTTCTTTCTACTCTCTTGAAAAAAAATTTTTTCTTCACCTCCTATGGTCCATGTTGAGTGCGATACACACCATGACACCAAACAGGACAGTGACTAACTGTAGCCCATATATGGGCCCACTGACTGATTACAAGATTGTAGACACATGTGATACTAATTAATATACATGCATATTTTTAACATGTCAATGTGGTTCCAGGGTATATCTTTCATTACATGAGGTGTACTAAACAATTTTGTCCGGCTGTGTACAGGGAAGAAACTCCCTTAGAATTGAGCTCTATTTGGTTGTATATGTAAATCTGCAGCTGCTCCTTATCATAAGCACATCATTGTTATAGCTATTAAGTTTTTTGGGGGGTGGGGGGGTGTTTTCTTGTTTTATTTGTTGCATGTTTTCGTTTTAACTTTGCTTTTGATATATATGTTAAAAAAATATAATTGTTTTTTATATATAGATGTTATACATTGATTTAGTGATACATATAATGTGTGTGAGTAGCATGGTAGATAAAAATAATATGCTTTATCACTTTAAAACAAAACATGTTTTAATTCACTTTATTTGTTTTATCATTAAAATAAATTGTGATTAAAAAAAAACTGCTAAAAAGTCTACCTATATGGCACATTGAAACAGATTCTAAAGATGAAATTCAATCAAAACCAGGTCATTTTTTCAAAGCCTGAGATCATCAGTTGTGTCTGCTGATATTCTTCCTAGCTTTTCTATTTCACCTGCGATTGTGTCACTGCTCTATGGCGCCGTCGGCTCAGCTAGTGGCTCCAACACGCTCCCTAAACTTGTACCATCTGATAAGAGCAGACAGTTTTCTTCTGAGTCTGCTTTGTTTTCTCGGATAATCCATGAATTATATCTACGGAAACATCTGATTCTTCACCTCTCTCTGTGTTGTCAGCCTTCATAGAAGCAGTCAGTTTTCATGCATGGGTTGACTTTTCATGTTGTTAAAAGAACACAACAGAGCCATAAAATAGTATTTTTGAAAGTGCCTTTTTAGTGAGATTGTACCCACATTTTCAGCAACTGTTTCATTTGTCATGATCTGGCCTGTTTGCTCTCCCTTAATTAGTAATTCCTTTCACCTGCCCTCTTCCCTCCCTGCCTCATTATAATTAATTCCTCTCACCTGTTTCCTCTGGTTTATATTCAGTTCAGCCTGAGCATTCAGTGCCAGATCATTGCTTGTCTTTCTGTCAGTCTTTCTGTTCAGTTTTTATTTGGTTCATGTCCTGGATCCTGGCAGCCAGTGGTAAGAGGGTTTTAGTGTTTGTCTCGTCTCCTGATCGTCCACTGTTCCTCCCCTGCGGAGTCCTCTGGGTTTTTGGCTCATTATGGAGGGGGGTTCAGTTTTTATCTAAGTAAGCCTGGCTCCTGGGTGGAGACCAGTTTAAAGTCTGCTTCAAGTTCCGGTTCCACGTCCTCTCTCGGCTACCCTCTTCCACTGAGCCTGCCTGTCTGCACCTGATCCTGTCTGCTCCTGTGCGTGACCACCTGGTCATGCTTCTGGTCCCAGTAAGACTCTGAACCCTCCTGGAAGCCTGTGGTTGCATGGAAGTCTGGATCCTGCCACCTCTGTCTGTTCCTGTCTGTTCTGGATCCCTGACCAGGATCAGCTTCCACCATCACCTCTGGGACTGCAGCACTGGGACACTTGTGGTCTGGACTGTTAAACCAGAGTGTCTGAGATTGGGCGGTGCCCCGCCCCCCCCCTGCCTGCAGTGTCCTCGAGCCACAGCTCCGCTTTTGTTTTGTTTTTATTTTAATAAACCTTTTGAACTTTCCTACTGACTGTCTCTCCTGAATACTGGGTCCATCTGTCCTCGGTTCATGACATCATTGGTTTAAAAATATTTTATCAGTGTCATCTATACATGCATATAAGTTCATTTATAATTAGAAAAGGATGCCACAGGTACTTAGAACATACTGTACATGTACTCAATGGACCTAAATAACAGTAACATTATTGTTTTCAAACTTATCCTGAAAATTAGAAATATTTAGGACACTTACTTTTTGCAACACAGGCTGCATGAATTCACTTTGTAGCAGCATATCTGTATCAATGTTTTTCTCTATTTTGTGTTTCTGTTTCACATAAAATAGCAATAAAGTTAATCAAGGTTTGTTGCAGTAATGAGAAAAAGTGTAAATCTGCTCTGATCAATATGTAACTGCATCGAAATGTGTGCTTTTGCTCCTTGGTTTGTCTCTTTATGGATTGTGTTTCTATGACTGATTTTGGTTGTTATGAATAGTGTTGACATTTAGGGGCCTGCATCCCATTGGACAAATGTGTCCAATGCTGCCTCTGTTTGTCATAAAGCTAAATGGAACTTGGTGGGAGGATAAGTAGGAGGCAAACACAGAGACGCATTTATTTTTTCCTGAATTTCATGTGACTCAAACACTAGCAGAGTGAATAAGAACATGAGTCAGAGGCTGTTTTTAGTCTAAAATACAAAGTATTGCAAAGGGAACGACTGGCTAAAGATTCAATTGTAACACTGAGTCAGTGAAAAGTGTCATAACTCAAAGACTTTTCTGGACAACTGTTCTGCACTTGTCAGGAAAGCAGCCAACATGAACATCTGACAACTAGTGTGCTGATCTGATGAATGGAGAGGAATGTCTCTTTCATCTCTGCAACATTTGGATGTCTTTCTGAATGGCAGCCAATGAGGAAGTGTGACAGGCTTCACGTGTGGCTTTGCTTTACAAAGCTGATTATTTGTCTCGCCAGTTCATGTCCCACAGAATGACTTTCACATATGTACTTATTTAAGCATCAGAGGTCCCAGCTTCAATCCGTCTGACACATGCAGCCCCCTACAAGTTTTCTTTCATGTTGTTTGTGTTGATAGCTGTTGGAGAGAATATTCAGTAATTAATTACATGTTGTTCTCAGGGATCTGAGGTCGAAGGCGGATATAAAACTTTGTCTCCAAATGAAACCTTGCAACCGTCTTCACCTGGCACTCCAGAGTTTTGGTAAGAACTTTTCTTTTGGATTTCTCTATTTGTTATTGCTATGCTTTTTCTATTACAAAATAAAAATTTTGCACTTTTTTGTCTATTTCCACCAAAGAAGGTTTGTAGGTTACTTTTTATAAGGCCCTACTGATCTGGGTAGTGCTTTTTTCTTTTAAAAGACAACAGGTTTACATTACTTGTTTTTTATGGCTGGTAATGTTTACCACTTAGACAATTATTCCCTCCTTCTTTATCCTGTTTAATTGACATTATTTTTTTAAACCTAGAGGGAAATTTTTGAAGACAAGCAGCCAGCTCATATCAAAATGGCCCTTCCCAGTCAAATGCCAGCCAAATGGCAGCCAACTTCCAGCCACTGGAGTGACCCCCTCCTTCTCCTGGACATGCATATTGTTTTACTCTGACTCCACCCTTACACTGAATTACAGGATCTGACCAGGAGATGATGCTTCTTTTAATGTCCACAAATCATGACAGAATGAATATTTTGGTACAAAGATTGATGTTTAAAAAGAAATCTTAGGGGACCAGCTAAGGACCCATCAAGGAAAGTGGGGAAATTTTGAATGGCTACTACTTATTTTCAAGAGGCAAATATAGAAAAGCTAGATAATGTCCCTTCTGAATAAGACGAGTGTCTAGCCTTTTCTCTGAAAATATGCACTGAGGTTTTCTCTCCTTTTAGGCTCAGAAATGCAATATATTAGAGAGATTTCTGTTGTTTGTGAGGAAATTGGGGAAAAGGACTTGATTTAGGACAGCTAAATCCATTCTTTTAAACTCTGGCTGGTATTGAATTAAAGGAGAATTCCGGTTTTTAACACTTTTAGCCCATTTTCTGTAGTGTCCAGGATGAAATCGAATGATCGACACCAAAATTTTGACAATTGGTCCTGTCTCTGCTTTTTGGCTCATGCAGAATCCCCCCCTGGCTGCTTTAGAATGGCTTCCATTGTGCATGTCCGATAATGTCCTTAAAACAACCTTAAACGTTCTTTTTTTAAAATATGCTACTCACCAGGTCGTCAGCGCTGTTCAATGACGTTCCAAAAAAAGTTTCGTAAAGAAAAAACGTTCCTGTAGTGTTTTATTTAGCATTTTGTAAATCCCATTGAGTTCTGTTGGAATAGTCAATATTCCCCTGCCATTGGAAACGGAAATGGGGCCTGTTTACACAGTTGTAGTCTTTTTGCTTCACTCTGTGTACTCCGATGTCGAGGTGCTAACGTCTCTGTTAAACACTTTAAAAAACTCTGAAAATGGAATACGAAAGGTGGATTCTTGATTCTCGACGTCGGAGTACACAGAGTGAAGCGAAAAGACTACAACTGTGTAAACAGGCCCCATTTCCGTTTCCGGTGGCAGGGGAATAATTGACTATTCCAACAGAACTCAATGGGATTTACAAAATGCTAAATAAAACACTACAGGAACGTTTTTTCTTTACGAAACTTTTTTTGGAACGTCATTGAACAGCGCTGACGACCCGGTGAGTAGCATATTTAAAAAAAAGAACGTTTAAGGTTGTTTTAAGGACATTATCGGACATGCACAATGGAAGCCATTCTGAAGCAGCCAGGGGGGGATTCTGCATGAGCCAAATAGCAGAGACAGGACCAATTGTCAAAATTTTGGTGTCGATCATTCGATTTCATCCTGGACACTACAGAAAATGGGCTAAAAGTGTTAAAAACCGGAATTCTCCTTTAATATGCAGACTAGCTGCATGTTCATCAAAAGTTGCATAAAGAAACCAGTTGCCCTCAATGAGTTATTTATACAAAATACATAGCATGTTTACCCTGTCACCATTGTACTTAATACCAGTTGATTACTCAGCAACCTGCAGTTCTTGTTTCCATGGAAAAGATACTGAATATTTATCATCATTCATAGGCATTGTGTGTGTTTGCTTCACCATCTGTGACGCTGTCAGCCAAAGGACATTAACAACATAATCATAGCCTGTATTTATCCTTATATATCTGCGATGACACTGACGACAGTAACTAATGTACACTTAGTGAGGGAATAAGCCAGGACTTTGTCAACACTTTCCTCATGCTCACATAAGACGAGTAGTACTGTAGACGAGTCCTCTCTCTGTTAGATAATGTCTGTTATCATTTACCTATTTAGGTTATATTTTGTATATTCTTATACACACAGATAATGCATAGAGGAATATTTTGAGTTTCTTTCAATCCCGTTTTCCTATGAGCTGTTCTCATTTTTCTTTTTAGCATAACATCGGCTAAAGAGGAAGGACAAATAAACAAAGGATCCACGTGCAGAATATTATCTTCTTACTTTGCTTTTTGCAAACAGGACTTATACATCCGCCAGGACCTGATACTTCCCTAAAATTGAAGCATAAAAATCAAGATTTACTGATCCTTTTTTGAAACAATTTTTTACCATTTATCCACAACCCCAGACTTCCGTGTACAGTATGATAGAGGGGCGTTATGTGATAGATAAAATATAGCTCTTGTTTGTAAACCAGAAAGGAAAGTACACATAGTTTTAAAGGTAAGCATCAGAGAAGCAGCCATGGTAACTCGGAGATACACAGCTCAGGTGGGGGACTTTTATGCCGGGGTATGTACTGATAAAGCAAATCAGAAATCTATAAACGAACAGCAAGAGCAACATATTAAAGGAAAAGTCTGTTCAGCAAGGAATAATCAACGGATAATTATTTATACCTAAAAATAGTGTTGCGCCGATGCCATTTTTGGCCCAATACCAATACCCGATACCTGGCTGTGCAGTATTGGCCGATACCATACCGATACCGATGTTTGAAATTGATGTGTGCGTATATATGAAGAACTGCATTCTAGTTGGATGTAAAATAATTGCCATCATGGCTTTATCAAGCTGCTGCCTACCTTTGTGAAGCAGAAAAAAGACTAATACAAAGTGAATCCAGTAGAACTTTTTATTGCCTACCTGGAATGGGTGACAATAGTTGAATACATTTTTGGCTCTCAAAATGGTACCAGTGCCCTATTTGTTGGTACTCACCGATACCAATACTACCATTTTAGTGCTGGATTGAAGCCCCACCCGGTAATGGTATCGGTATCGGTGCAACACTACATAAAACTAATACGTTGGCGGTGATTTAATTAATTTAGCGTTAATCAGTAAAAATAAAAACAATCATTTTTGTTGCGATCACTGAGTCTGGTAACGGCATTTTTGCTTAAATATAGTAACACCTCACTTCTGACATCTTCTGGCAGTGACGTCACGGTGTGGTAAGCCATTCTCCCTGCTTTACAAGACACATCTGCAATCAACAACAATTACTGAAGATTTCCAGAGGACTTCACCATTGAAAATTCATCAGAGCAATAGATAAACTGGCAATGTCCCGTGCATGGCAGTTGAATGTTGTTATACATTTGGTAAAAGTGGTAATAAACTGAGTTATTTAATCTTTCCGATTCATGATCCTCCACGGACGGGTTCGTCGTTGGATTGCCAACTTGAAAAGAGAGGATTTGTCATCGGACTTCTTGCCAGAGAAAAACCACGTTTTGTTGCCAACATTTCAAAGGAGAATGTTTTCAAGATGACTTGGATAATAAGGCATTGTGATAAACACCAGACACAACATTAGGACTCGATCAATAGCCGATACCGCACTGTGACGTCACACACTGGTAGGTGGCAGTAGTGTTCTTTGACGAACATGGATGCCTCCAGTAAAGCACATTCAAATGACAATTAGTCTTTATTAAAACAGTTATCATATATTGGACAGTATGTAATCATTTTATATTTAAAGTTATTTCAGAAGTTTGAATTCTGAACATGACCGGACTTTTCCTATAAAGGGACAGTGTGTAAGACTTAACCTTAGTGGCGCACTAAATTCATTGCAAACAACAGACTCTTGCCTCCATGTCAAGCATGCAAATCCCACTGCAGAGAATGTGACTCTGACGTCACATTCCACGCATCGAATAGCTCTCTAGGCTAAGCTAACAAGCTGTGTCTGCTAAAGGACCGTGTGGTTGCTGGACTACTCTGCACTGTTTCTAAATTAATGATAAAGTAAACTTCACTGTTATATTGAACTATCTTACCTGTCCAGCAGAAAGCCTGCAACATCTGCATCCCCTTATAAATTGTATCTACCTGGTAGAAGCAGGATTGAGTAGATTCCCATTTTCTATCGGTTACCAAATCATTTTATTTTTTGGTTTGTTTCACTTGCCTCTAACTAGACAAAAAGGATGAATGGTCATCTATTGAAACGAAAAGTGGAAGGTAGACTGATCAACTGATGTTTTGTTTTCTTGCTTTAAACTCATCCAACACTGGCAACACATATTAAGATACAGGTCAAACAAGTAAGGCTAATAAGATTTTCCATTTTCGACTGCCATGATCAAAAATGGCGAAGCAACAGGGCATCCGCCACCCCCTATGTATTTATAAACTACTAATTCTAAGAACGCTTTCATTTTTGATGTGATGTTAATAGACTTTTGCTGAGAATGTATTTATTAATGCAATACTTGATTTTTGATATAAAACTACAAATTTATTAACCCCTAGAACCCTACGGACCCACCGGTGGGTCCAGCTGCTACGTGACCTCGTAATTTTAACAAACCCCCAGTATTGATGTAAAAAAAACATTTGGCACAGTTTGGTGACATTTTTGGATAAATGTGCCAAAATGGCCTCTCCGCCTAAGAAATTTCTCACTAATACCATTCTAAAATAAATATGATTCATCTGATTGAGTCCAAATTTAGTATATTTTTACACAACATTTAGATTTAAAAGTCTGTACTACTTTTTTGTGCTATAAATAATATTTTGGTAGTGTTTTTGCAATGTTTATTTCAAAGAAAATTTTGGCGAGGTTAAAAAAATGCAAAATATTTTGTATTTTGTCCCTAATATTTCAGGCAGGCTCAAAGCTACAATGGTGCTGACACCAGAAAACCATTCTATGACGTCTTACCTTTACAGAGGTACCAAAAGTTTCTTCTTAAATCTAATAGCTGTGAGGCTATAAGTGATTTACTTTTGTGTGTTTTTGTCAGGCAGAAATTTATTTATACCCCCTGAGGGTGTAAGAGGTTAAAGATTGTCTCTTAGAAAAAAATCCTGTGAAGTTTCCTGAAAGCAATGTAGGTGACAGCAGAAATACTCAAGAGGGGACCTCTGGTTAGAAAACCCAAAGCTAAAGTTTAAGACTTACATAAAAACACTTTTGGGAAGAAAACCAACTGTGATTACCACCCTTAAAACCTATCAGTTTGAAGAAGAATAGCCCAAACACAAAGCCCATTAATGTTTCTTACATACCATTCTCGGTACAGCTGCTGGTTTGCAAAAATCGGTTGATGTTCATATTATCCATAAACATAAATAAACGTATAACAGGTCATATCTAAGTAAAACAGAATGACTGATACATTAAAGTGGACATGTTTTCCCTTGTGCTATTAATTACACTGCACAGTTCATTCCAATTTCATGTTTTTCAGAACCACTCTTGTTTTATTTTGACAGCCTTACAGGAAACAGTTCCAGGTCCTTTGTGTTGTGGCTCCATCTTGTGGTTAAAAGAAGTGTACACTGATAACCATAAAATCTTAAAATTGACTTACTGGTTTATTACATATTTAAGACACCACTCTAGGGTATTACTCTGTAAAATCTCTATCCTCATGAAAATCCCTGCTTTCTTATACTGTACAGCGCTCCTCGTCTTAGCAGCACAATGAAGGAGACGCCATCAAACCAGGACAGAAATCCAGACAGTTCCGTCTGTTCTGCTCCTGATCTGAGGTCAGTCACATTATACTTCTCTCATCTTTCATTCTATAAAAATATCCTATGATTAGATCATACATAACATCAGGTATCTGAAAAACTAAGTTTGGAAATATCTAAGTAGATGATACTCTCAGTCATCTTGCAACAAACCTTCAGTTCCAGTTTGGAACAGCACGTCCCAGGAGGGAAATAAAAACTCAGACTACAAGCCTTCTTCAGACTGGAGGTACAGGAGCATTGTCCAGATAGCTCCCACAGAATTAAGAAGCATCAAGAGCATTTGTGAATCTAACTAATTACTCGCAATGAAAAAGGAAAACTAGTTTGAACTTCTTTTATATCGGAAAACAGTAATTTTTCTGGCATTGGTTGAATTAGTTAGCTAAAAATAAGCCTAATTTCTTCTCCATCATGTTTCAATTAATGCTTTCATTCATACAAACCACTCAGCAATATGTGTGCAATAACTCTTAAATCCATACATTCATTTAAGACCTGTAGATGTTTATAGCTGCTCTGTGTTTTCTCTTCACCTATGAGTCCCGTCATAAATTTTTATGTCTTTGTGAAGTAACGTCTGCGAGTTGTGTTCACAAATCAAAAAAAGTCTCACTCTAACCCAGATGCTGAAAGCTCATTATTTTACAGCCACTGTTAAACACTCACTGTTATATGTATACGATTCCTCTTAAACAAGCCCTCGCAGCACAGACCCACTTTTGTTTCACACTCTAAAACACATGGAGCCGTTCTCTGCTACGATTTCTGCTTTTAATTTTGCATCATGAAGAGTTGAAACGTGGCCCAGACTGGTCATAAAGAGACTTTCTTTCTTTTTTTTCTTTTTTTTTTTTTTGCCTGCTCTAACACAAAAACATAGGATTTTGAAACACAAACTACTTATGTTATGCAGGGTGTGTGGAACGATTGATCAGTTCCCTGGTATAACTTGCACCAGTATTTGCTGCAGCTGCAGTATTTGTTGAAATCTTGTGTGACATGTAGACAGAATGGTTTTGTTTTCATATTTCCTGCTGAATTCATTTTTATTTATGTTTATGTAAATGATTGTGTTAATCTAACAAAAAAAACGTAGGACTTTTAATGTGTTTTACTAAAGAAATGTCCTTCTGCATGTCAGAGTAACCACTAGTTTGTTTCAGGCCCCTTAACCCAACAACCTACCATCCATCTTCCATTCCTCTGACTGGAGACCAACAAGTTGATGCTGACATCCTGGCTTTTGTTATGGCCCGGAAAAATCTTCTCAGCAGGAGGGGTAAAAAACTAACCATTCTATTGCTTTACTCTGCCCTCTTCCTCTAAACTTCAACTCAACCAGTCTAAGTCTAACCTGCACTCAGTTCACATCTTACTCCTCAATCTAACCTTTTAGCAAAAACGAAGTATGGAGCAGGAAACTGATCACACTCTATAACAATCAGTCCTTACTTTGCTAATAAAATCCCCCCAAAAAGTTGTCTCTCGGCCACACTCACACCCACACCCATTTGAAATACTTTTGAAACAAAAATACAAGCTCAACAGTGTACTCTGGTGGTGTGATAAATGAAAACACATAACAAAGTTTAGCTGTGATGACCTTAGGTTCACTGATGACAATGCTGAATCTCAAAGATGGATTAAATTTGCTCTGTCCTCCTAAACTTCATCTAGGCTAATCCAAACTTTGGCTTTTCTTTCATCCACAATAGTTTATCGTAACTCCTGCATTTTTTAGATTGATTTCCAACTGGATTGTAACCTCCATGCATGTCTGATGTCTTTTATAGCTTTGAATAGGTTTGCTTTCAAGATTTCACTTCCTCCTTCTTCACATCTGATTAGCTTCCCTTTTCCAACTCAAGACATATAGTGGGTCAGTATTTTGTGGAGACCTTATTCCATCCATCTCCCCTAAATGACATGATCTAAGTTTTGACAAGGTTTCTTGAGGCTTTATTATTATTATGGCTTTCCTTTGGAAAACTATCAATGCATAATATCTAGCTGAGCTATAAATCTTTACAGCTCCTCAAATTTTATCGTGTTGTTCTTGGATTCTTTTGATTATCCTTTTCTGTTACTTTTAATGGACAGATTAGACTAATCTACTACTGACAGTGTGCAGCTGGTTCAGATGAAATCATG